AATAATGAGAACAAAGGAAGAAAAGTTTCTTTACATTTCGAATTCACTGTTGCGTTTTAATCGTGGGATTATAAGGAAGAAAAGATTGCGAAGATAAAGGTCAATTGCTCTAATTGCATATAGTGCGATTTACGGTATGAAATAATCGCGAGTCGACCAATTCCGACTACAATGCATTAAATCGGCCGAGAGTCTCTTGCACGAGTGCTGGTAAAAAAAACTAGCTGCATTATTGATCCAAACTGCTCGAACGACTCGTAAATATCAAAATATCAGCACGAAGTCGTACTTTGGCAAATAGTTGAGATGATGCGTTTTTTTTTCCAAAGTCGTTGAAATATATTTGTAAGATAGATTTGAAATTATTATTATTAATATTATTATTATTTTTAAGGCTAACAGTTAAAAATACAATGAAATTTTCTCGTGTCAATTTAATTTCACTAAAACTTGAATTAATTTATAATTCATGCATCAAACGTAAGAATTTCACTCTTTCGAACTTTTAAAATATAACTCGAAATATTCGCATATTAACTTATGATTCGAACACATAATCCAACGATTCCAACGAAACTTGAGTTTCGATTCGAAGGAATACGAATTTGAGAAAATATTTCGCAATCAACAGATAACTCTATTCGTCTGTGGGGTGTTTCTGAAGCACAACGACACACCGGTGGTACGTGCATCTGGCCGTGAACTGTCGTACGTTCTTCTCTCCGGGATCCTGCTCTGTTACCTCGTTACTTTCGCCCTCGTTCTCAGACCGACGGACATCGTTTGCGGGATTCAAAGGTAAAGGATCAATGCTCATCCCATTTTCCTGTGGCGTGTAAAAACTCGACGTGGCCATTGAAAAATAAATTAAATTCTTACGGCAGAAACGAGTCGGCGACGGTAAATTGACATTAATCAAGTGAACGCGAGTGCATCGATCGGTGAAAAATTGATAAAATTTCAGGGACGTGAATTGCACGCGATTCAATTAAGGGAAGTCGAAAGAAGAATATAAAACAGATCGGTGAATCTATTTAAAAGTGAAAGTTATTTCTTAAACGTCGCATTTTACCATCATTTTCGTATCGATGCATCGATAAAATGAAAAATTAATTTCTCGAAAATATGATATCTCGATAAAAGGAATATTCTCTAAATCGAATAATCCATAAATCCGAAAATATTAAATAAATGATAAAAATTCTCAACGAAAATAATTTCTAAAAAAAAAAAATAGCGAGGAATCTGTATATAAAATATACTTTAAAAATATACTTTACAAAAATATTCATATAGTTCTATCTAAAGAAAAAAAAAATTCAAGATCACTCAAAAAAAAAAAAATAAAAATTCTCATATCCAAAAAAATGATAAAGTTTCGTCCAACCAATGAAAAAAATAGAAACTATTCGATACGCTAGTACAAAACTATATTATTATCGTTGTATATAAATAACGAAACTTTTTAAAATTTGAGAAAAAGAAAATTGTTCGACAGATTCGCCGCGGGTTTCTGTTTCACCGTGGTCTACGCGGCCCTTTTAACAAAGACAAATCGAATATCGAGGATCTTCAACGCGAGCAAACACAGCGCCAAGAGGCCATCCTTCATATCTCCGCGGTCACAGCTGATCATATGTTCCGGTTTGGTGTTCGTGCAAATTCTGATCAACGGAGTTTGGATGATAATCGATCCAGCCAAGGCGATGCATCATTATCCGACCAGGGAGGACAATTTGCTCGTTTGCAACAGTTACATAGACGCCAGTTACATGATCGCTTTCGCTTATCCCATCATGTTGATCGTCGTTTGCACCGTGTACGCCGTCCTCACAAGAAAGATCCCGGAAGCTTTCAACGAGAGCAAACACATCGGTGAGTGTGTGCACACGTGTGCGCGTATCGTATCGACACGTCCACCATCTTCCAATTTTCGAGCTTGTTCGTTGTTCCTTTTTCCAACTTGTACCGTATTTTCATAGAGACTTCCAATGTCTTTTGTATCCCGATGGGGGATTTCTGCTGTTCTCCATTTTCCTTTGGTGGAACACGTCGAGGATGGGCGCACAATATTTCCTTGGCGCAGAATTTTATTAACGGAACAACAACGGATGCTCCGTACACTTTAGACGAAGTTTACGTGGAAAGGTTTAAACGCTGCTAAGTTTGAATATAAATCAAGCACCGATTCTAACGATAATTCCTAAACCGAAGATGAAGTTCTGTTAAGTTTCGTTAAGTCGTAAACTTCACCATCTCTTTGTAAGCCGTTCTTGAGTTAGAAGTTAGAATCGTGAAACATTAATGGGTGTAATTCAGTCGGATCTGCGCGAGGCAGGAGAACAAAATAATAATAGGGAGGTGTCGGATATCCTTCATTTCGAAATTCTCTTTGTTCGAAAATGTGTACACGCGTTGTATGATTATTATGAAAAACAAAAATCCTCTTAACTCATAGATATCTGTGAGATTAAAGATTAAACGTTAGTGGTTCGTTTCTCGTAAAAAGTGAAAAAGAAAAAAAAAGAAGAAGAAAATACGTTTCTACTTCGTTAATTAAAGAATATATATTTGAGGATAATAAATTCTGTTCCAAAAGGATTATTAAATTCGCAATAATCGTATTTCTACTGTACAGGTTTCACGATGTACACCACGTGCGTGATATGGCTGGCTTTTGTGCCCCTGTACTTCGGTACTGGGAACAACGTTGCATTGAGAATCACCTCGATGTCAGTTACTATAAGTCTATCCGCGTCCGTAACTATAGCCTGTCTGTTCAGCCCGAAGGTAATTCATTGCGACAGAATTTCAGATGAATAGAGTGGCCAACTTTTAACCTTTTCGTTCTCTCCCCCCCGTCAACAGTTATACATCATTTTAATACGGCCAGAAAGAAACGTACGTCAAAGCATGATGCCAACTAGATATAGCACCACGAAAAGTTCAGCAGTCACGGCTACCAATGCTTCTAGCATGATAGCACCGGTTGCGCTGACTGCGGCTACGTGTGATCAGAATAAGGCTGTTAAAAAACACATCACCACTACCATTGATTGCTCCACTCAAAGCGAATGTGAGTATCCATCACTTGTCAAATATTAAGATTGAAAAGAAAAAAAACCTAATTATGATGGAAAAGAAAAAAAAATAAATTATTTCTCGATCTTAATATATTCGTAATATATTCAAAAGATTAACGTCGTAAGTATATAGTTCACGATATATTTAATGGCATTATAACCGGGTCTCTTTTACATTTTTCGTTCAATAAACTAAATATTTAATGTTCGATATTCCACGTTAAATTCCACATTTATTTTATGAATACGAGATATAAAATATTAAAGAAAAATAGTTTATTTTTTTTTTAGTTATCTGTATGAATTATCGATAAGTGACTCGTAATTAAAAATTGATAGAATATCTAGTTTTATAATATATTATAAGAATAATCGTTCTAATTACTTACGAAATAATTAACTATAACTTTTCTCCATATTTAATACTTTCTAAGAAAGTGCATCTTAATTTCCTTTAAAAGATTTTAACCACCGTATTTTTCAAAGGAATTATCTAATTATCGATCAAGACTTTTTTAATTAATTAAACATTTTCGACTGACAATTTTTGCATTCTCGATCTTCAAACATCTCAGGCAAATGTCTACGTGGAACAATTTTCTGACAAAATAATTCACTATAAAAATCCTTTCAAGTCTCTCAAAATTTTTTGGTAAACATCTGACCGATTTGTATATTCTCTAAATTAAATCTTAATCTCCTTTCAGCCTGCCAATCGTAATTAACGAAATTTAATTAACAAATGTTTTCTCTTGCAGACTACGAGCTAGAGGTAAAAGATCAGAAAAATGGGAAACCACCCTCGGTCGTTTCTCGATCGACCCAAACCTCTGCCAACAACGACAAAGACGCTAATGCTGTGGTAACGCAGAGCAAAGAGACGAAGGATAATACCACGACAACGAAGCAATTGAACAATAAAGCGAGAATAGGAAACGGACCTATAAATCAGAGTGATGTTCCATTATAGCAGCAAACTTCCATAGAATCGGCCATTTTGCCCGCGACTTTGAAACCAATTTCGAAAAATCCGGTGATAGTTTGAAAGGACGCAAAAAAAAAAAAAAAAAAAAAAAAAA